CTTTATTAGATTTAAAGCTTGTGTAAATCTTCTACTATTACGATGAAGTAGCATGCGTTTTATTTATTTACATCTAGCGAAGTCAATGAAGACCGGCTCATCTGGCGCCTTCGTGAAGTACCTGTTGAGCGGTGCAGTAGTTCTGCGGCTAGGGCTTTTTGTATTCAGTCTGTGGCAGGACGCGACTCGATGGCCAGATGGGCAGCTGCGTTTTACGGATGTGGACTATGACGTATTCACTGATGCAGCGAAGGCTATGGCAATGGGGGCTAACATCTACGAGACGCGCCCTACATACCGCTACTCACCTCTCATCGCCCTCATTCTTTGCCCTGGATACTTCATCTCAAGCGTGTTTCGCCTCTCTGCGCCTTTTTACTCAGTCGCCTATGCCTTCGGCAAGGTCGTCTTCCTTTCTGCTGACATCTTCTGCGCTCTCCTTCAACGCAGCATTATCCTCACAGAAAACGCTGCAAGTCGATCTTAATTCTCCTTTCTTTTGACCCCAACAGTTTCAGTCAATCTGGCTTATGTTTAGTTTAAAATAACTCATTTCGTAATAATTTAACACCTGATCGACTATGAAGGGTACTTTAACCTTGTGGTCAATTTGGTTGCCAAAGCTTTTCCAAGTGGCCTTTTCACACTAAAGTTCATTAGCTTTTATTTCGTGATGGTGTGGGGCATCCATCGGCGACCGAGGTAAGTTAGGACGCATTTTTGTAAAGGCTTCTGGATTATTGTGAGATTTTTCCAAAATTTCATTTTTTTATCGGCCTTATCGGCTTTTCCAGATTCTCCATTTGAACGGTTGTGGAAGGCAAATAAGTCCAAATACGGGATTGTAGTATGTGCATTTATTTTGTTTGAGGAAATATTTAAAATAAGATATGATGTCTATTGAGATTACATACTTTTGCCATATTATTTTCCAAGAATAACTCGCTTGAGCACTCAACATAATAAAATTGTTTTGCTTAAGGAATACAGTAATTCTATTTCTTGTGTATGTCTTCAAATATAGGTTATTAGAAGAGTAATTCTTCAAAGTCATAAATCAAATACTTTGAACGCTTTTTTCTTTTTGATTTGGATGAAAGAACAGACCGACCTTACGACTACGAGGAAGGTCTTGAAAGCAGAATTTTCGTCGCTCCCACTTTCTCCCGTGTCGCTTACTTCTTTCTCTACGCTTGCTATCAGATTAAACCGAGTAACTGCTTCGCCTATCTGGGTGGGAGTACCCTACACATGAGCGTCAAAGTGCAAGCATATACACTGCACTAATGTCTTATTTTCCTCTCCACCTTTGATTCTCCTTTTTATGCAAGTTATATTTGGCCACAGAAGCGTAATTAAAGCGTGCGAGGTCGATGCGCAATAGAATAGCAGGGAAAGGAGAGGAGATAGACGGCCGTCATGTTTCGCACAACTGTCTTCCACGTTCGTTTCTGCATTCTTTGTCGTTCCTTTATCCACTCGCTCATATTTTGAAGGTTGTTCGACTAAGTGTTCCTGCCAGAGATTCTCCTTATCTTCATCACTGTTGTCGAATTCCAAACAAGCGTTTCAGCTAGATTTCAAATGTTGAAGGGGCCAAGCAAGTGGACGCTTTGGAGAGCATTCATCAAATTAGCAGAAGCACGTCTATTTATCACTAGAATTCCCGTATAAACTGATAAGTTTCGTTTGATGAACTCGTTGCATGGATTCTCATAATGTTTTCTGCTCCGCTCTT